ATCAACTTGGATGACAACCGGGGTAGTGGCACTCAATTAGTTGCATACGTGAAAGATGGGAAAGAAGTAAATTACCCCCCTCCACCGAAGTTTCGAAACCTATAATGCGAGAGCAACCAATGTGATGTACAACATCAGTCAAGTGGCAAAACTTTAACACAAACAATTGTGGAAAATTATGTTTACAATTCATCTTCTACGAATAACGAGAAAATAGAGAAAAGAAGAAAAGCAAAAGTGAGATGCTTGGAGGGTGAAGCATGCATGTGTATGAACCTTTCCGTCTATGCGCACCTACACTCATTGGCGTGGCACCTAGAAGTGTGGTTCGATTCTCTCCAGCGATTGATCTCTCGCGAGGTGCTTACGAAATAGCCTTGATTTCACTGGAAACGAATCATACTGTTACGAATGTGAAATCAGGATGCGATGGTTTTACCTTTGGTTTCATTGACGCGGACGGTAAGCCAAACAATTACATCGTTACCATCCCTACGGGTACGTACACTGTTCAAGATATCAATCGCTACATTCAAAAATTGCTTCGAGAAATGTTCAAGACAGAATTTTCGCGGAAGAAACATTTCTTCGAACTACAAGTGGACCATACTAATCAGAGATGTCTTGTCAGCACATCGTTTACTCTTTTCTTTAACCTTCCCGGTTCTATATTACGAATAAAGTTAGGGTGCATACCAGCTTGGCGTGTCTTCAACTCATGGGTACTAACTGTTCCTTCCGAGGTCTCGAGCGAATTGTAAGTTCATCGATCCAATTATGAGTTTTACTCTAATGAAACACTTTTTCCGAAGGTCTCTCCTGCTGAATCAGAGAAGGATGATAGACCGTCGATATGAAACTGATGAGATATGTGTGATTGTCGATTGTTTATATAAACCGCCTAACTACTACGTTACACGAAACGAGATGTTTGGGGAAGTTTCTTTGACGAGTTTCACTGCGCGTCTGAGCGGAACAACTTTCCAATCAAAGTTTGTTTAATTTCACGAGAGAATCCCAGGCAGTGGGTTCTATAGAACCGGGAAGGTTAAAGAAAAGAGTAAACGATTGTTGCTGACAAGAACATCTCTGATTAGTATGGTCCACTTTGTAGTTCGAAGAATTGTTTCTTCGCGAAAATTCTGTCTTGAACATTTCTGCGAAGCAACTTTTGATATTGTCGCGATTGATATCTTGTTAACACGTGTACGCTAACCTCGTAGGGATCAGGTAACGAGTAATTGTTTGGCTTACCGCTCCGCCGGTCCAATGAAACCAAAGGTTAAAACCATCGCATCCTTCGATTTCACATTCGTAACAGGATGAGTCGGTTTCCAGTGAAATTCAAGGCTTATTTCGTAAGCACCTCGCGAGAGATCAATCGCTGGAGAGAATCGAACCGGACACTTCTAGGTGCCACGCCAATGAGTGTAGGTGCGCATAGACGGAAAGGTTCATACACATGCATGCTTCACCCTCCAAGCATCTCACTTTTGCTTTTCTTCTTTTCTCTATTTTCTCGTTATTCGTAGAAGATGAATTGTAAACATAATTTTCCACAATTGTTTGTGTTAAAGTTTTGCCACTTGACTGATGTTGTACATCACATTGGTTGCTCTCGCATTATAGGTTTCGAAACTTCGGTGGAGGGGGGTAAAAGCCAACGAATCAAAAAAATAACTTTTTAAACTTTCTTTTTCCCCATTTTTCATTCTTTCTCTTTTC